TTCAACTTAAAGTCAAACTTATAACTTATAACTTAATAACTTATTGGGATATTACAAAAACAATGATCAAATCTGAGTTTTTAGAGTAGTAGAAAGTGAAAAAACAATATTGAGGGTTGTTCCCCCGAGTCTAAGGATCATTTTGATATATAGTACGCAAAAAACGGAGCTAAAACGAGTAAAAACGAGCAAAAATAAAAAACAGGGTCGGCAGGGTCGCGACTCGCAAGTTGGCTCGCGAGTTGGACGGGTCGCTGGGCTGCTGGAGGCTCTATTAAAGTCGCGAGTCGCGACATTATGCTCGCGAGTCGCGAGATTCTGGACTGCACTGCGCCATTTTTTGTTTTCGCCTCGTTTGAGCTCATCCGAACTCGGAATTGAGTTCCGTTTTTTCCTACGCATCGCTAACGAACCCCTCTATCCAATTATGCTCTCGATAGCAACTTTTTCTGAAGAGAAAGTTCGCCCGAAGCTCCAGACCTACACACCAAAAACGACAAAACACAAAAGAAAACCGGAAAAACAAACGAAAAACATCTGAAGACTCAAAATGTAGGAAAACATATCATAAGCCAAAAAAGGGACTAAAAACTAAAGAAAAGACCTAAAACGGGGGGAAAAGAAAGATAAAATAAACACAAAAAACGCAACAAAAATAGGACAAACAGTCTTCGCCCCGACCTTTGCTACACCTTGACTGAACACGGAGCTCTGCCTTACTCCGAGATGGTCCGCCGAGACACCGAGTTAGAGGTTTGCCAGAATGCCCAGAGGGCGACTGACCCATCCTACCAGCAGACCCCTATGATTCAACATATCTCAGTTGTTGCGCATGGTTCTAATTCGGGCAAGAGGAAGGCCGACTACCATCAAAACAAGAAGAAAAGAAAGAAAGGGAACTTCAGGAGGTGTGACGACCGACCCCCTCAGGGACAGCTTCTGAGGTGCCCTAACTGCGGCAAGTTCCATGGGCCAGGAGAGTGCCGAGCAGCCGACAGACACTGTTTCAATTGCCACCGTGTCGGATATTTTTCGCATGTGTGCCCCGAGCCGAAGAGGCCACACCAGCAGCCACCCTACCCTCAGCAGCAGCCACCCTACCCTCAGCAGCAGCAGCAGCTTCCACCTCCACCCCATCAGCAGCAGCCCAGACAACCCCCACCTTACCAATAGAGGGCTGAGGGTCAAGCCTGCGTGTATACCATCACTCATGATGAGGCAGCCAACAACGCAGGTACTATGTTCGGAGTGCTTTCGATATCCAATGTGCCTGTATATGCTTTATGTGATACTAGATCCACTCATTCGTTTATTTATACATGTTGCTTGGAGGCTTTGTCCATTTGTAATGTGTGCCCTTGTGACCCTCTCGAGGTTAGTCTAGCCTAGGGAAAGATTTTTATTTCCGATTCTATGATTCCCAGTCTTCCAGTCAGTATTGGTGGGCATATTTTGGAGACCAGAGTTTAAGTGATTGAAATGCGGTACTTCGATGTGATCTTGGGCATGGACTGGCTTACCCGCTATCGAGCCGACATCCGGTGCCAGGAGTGCGAAGTCACTCTCTTTCTCGTTTCTGATCAGCCAGTTGTATTCTTTGGGGTGAAGTCGAGGACTGTGCCTCGAGTCATCTCTTCTATGCAAGCTAGGAAGAGCCTTTCCAAGGGTAGCTGCCAAGGCTATCTTGTTTCTATGGTGTACGAGGATGATTCCGAGCGGACTCTGGAGCGAGTTTCTATTGTTTGCGAATTCCTTGATGTTTTTCTCGATGAGCTGCTTGGAGGACCACCCGACTGCCAAGTGGAGTTCACCATTGACTTAGTACCGGGAGCTGGCCCCGTGTCTAAGGCACCTTACCGTATGGCGCCGAAGGAGCTTCAAGAGCTTAAGGCCAAAATCCAAGAATTGCTTAGGCTCGGTTTTATTCGACCGAGTGTTTTGCCGTGGGGTGCGCCCGTTGTATTCGTGAAGAAGAAAGACGGATCCATGCGTATGTGTATTGACTATCGGGAGCTGAATACCCTTACAGTCAAGAATAAGTACCCCCTTCCTCGAATTGAGGATCTCTTCGACCAACTGAGAGGAGCCAGCATCTTCTCGAAGTTCGATTTGCGGTCTGTCTATCATCAGCTGAAGATCCGGGAGTCGGACATTTCTAAGACTACTTTCCATACCCGCTATGGCCACTATGAGTTTGTAGTCATGCCGTTTGGACTCAGCAATGCCCCAGCAGTTTCTATGGACCTTATGAACAGGGTCTTTCATCCTTTCTTGGACCAGTTTTTCATTGTGTTTATCGACAACATCCTAGTCTATTCCCGATACATCGACCATCACAAGGAGCATCTAAGGATTGTGCTGAAAACCCTTCGCCGCGAGAAGTTGTACGCAAAATTTTCGAAGTGCGAGTTCTGGTTAGACCGTGTGGCGTTCCTTGGCCACATTGTCATAGCTCGAGGCATTGAGGTGGATCCTAGCAAGATCGAGGCGGTGAGCAAGTGGGATACGCCAAGAAGTGCCGTTGACGTTCGTAGTTTTCTGGGGTTAGCAGGATACTACAGAAGGTTTATCGAGGGCTTCTCGAAGATAGCCCAGCCACTAACCAACCTTACGAAGAAGGCTATGAGGTTTGATTGGAGTCAGAAGTGCGAGGAGATTTTCCAGGAGTTGAAGAGGAGACTCACTACCGCGCCTGTCCTATCCATACCTGACCATACTTTGGAGTTCACGATCTATAGTGATGCTTTGAAGATGGGCTTGGGTTGTGTTCTCATGCAGCAAGGGAGAGTCGTAGCCTATGCTTCGAGGCAGCTGAAGCCTCACGAGCAGAACTACCCCACCCATGATCTTGAGTTAGCTGCAGTCGTTCACGCCTTGAAGATTTGGCGGCACTACCTCTACGGAGGCAAGTGTGAGATTTTTACCGACCACAAGAGCCTAAAATACATATTCACTCAAAAGGAGATGAACATGCGACAACGTAGGTGGTTGGAGCTGGTCAAGGATTATGACTGCATGATTAGCTACCATCCTGGAAAAGCTAACGTAGTTGCCGATGCCCTTAGTCGAAGGAGTTATGGCCAGCTGTCTTGTCTATTCACCGGGCAAAATGTTCTGCTTCGGGAGTTCGAGCGGCTACAGCTAGAAGCAGTGGAGTCGCCTTCGGCAGCTGGGGTGTGTTGACCGCCTTGGTTGTGGGACCGACTCTTCGTGGGAGGATAGTCGCCGAGCAGCCGAATGACCGTTTTCTGTGCCGGATGAAGGATTTGGCATTTAATGGTCAGATTGGTGGATTCACAGTTGCAACCGACGGAGCTTTACTCTTCGAGGGTAGACTTTGTGTTCCGATGGTTTGGGAGCTGCGAAAGGAGATTCTGAGAGAGGCCCATAGTGCCTCGTACACCGTTCATCCTTGTAGCACGAAAATGTACCAGGACTTGAGGAAGTCTTTCTGGTGGCGAGGCATGAAGAGGCAGGTACCGAAGTTCGTGGATGGATTTCTGGTGTGTCAGC